GTAAGGTCACAAGGTGAGAGAACGGTCGCGGAAAGGCAGAACAGCAAAGCAATGAAAAAAGGCGATCAAACAGTGCACCAATTCTTTTCCTGGTTGGGTGGAAGATGGTACAGTTGCGCCCCGCTAAGCCGGGCGCTGCAGCGCGATGCCTCTCAGCATCGCAAACTTGGAGTGAAGGCACCACTTTTTGCCTCGGCGGCATGCGAAGTGGCACCGCACGTTGTGTTGATCCTCGTGGCTTCCCCCGGATTCGAGGATTTTGTGCTGATTGATGGAGCGTAGTTCCCCAAAAGCGATGGCGCCGAGTTGAGACTTTCCGATTGTAAAGTTCTGCAAGAGCTGGCCGAGCGTGTCGGGCGTGCATGCCGTGGGGGTGGCCTGAGCGTAGCATCCAAAGCTCGGGTTGTCATGGTTCTCGGGCCTCCAAGCAGCGGGTCGGATCATGTTCTCATGGCACATGCGGCGCACTCGATCCGGGGTGGTGCCGTGCACATACATGACAGCGTGATGGGAGGCCGTGCCGGATCCAGCTTCCGGGTCTCCGCCAGCAACTGGCCAAGTATGAGGTCGGGGAAACCAAGTGGTTGCGAACACCATGCCGTGTGATTCCCGTCCCAAGAGGTGGTAGAAGCTGGGATCGAACGGTATGGGATCATCCGTGTCCATGGTTCGCAGTTCCCAGCATTCCGCGAGGAGATCGGCATGTGAAGGTGGCAAAGCAGGGTCCAGGTCCATCAAAATTGCCTTAGTCTGTTCCACCCTGGAGATGTCCAAGGCTGGAAGCGGGTCCAGCTCCCCCAACTCCCTAGGCGTGGGAACTCGCAGCGGGTCAGTCTTGGCCGTGTCCATGACGTTTCTCCATAGATCAAGCCACTGGTTGTCGGAAGTGGTGGTGGCATTGATGTCCGCCTCCGATGGAGGGGGATCCAAATCACCGGTGTTGTCGAAGGGGGGTTGGGGAGGGTGAGGAGTAGCCGGCGTGGGTCGGGGAGGGGGAGGGGGAGTGGAAGTGAAGGCCGCCGCAGGTGCTGGGTGAGGGGGCAAGCTAGTGTTGTGGTGGCCGGTGCGGGAAGTGGGGTGGGGTTGCTGCCCATGGTGCTGCAGTGACCAGGACGATCGTTTGTCCTGGTTGTTTCGGTGGCCGGTGTGGCTGGCGCCATGGTGGTGCATGTCCCAGCGGTTTTTGTTCTGTGGTGGGTATCCCCACGATTGGTTCCGCCAGTGTGAGGAGGACCATTGAGACTTGTTGGGATCCTTCCCGGAAGTGCGCCAGGAGTCCTTCCCGGAAGTGCGCCAGGAGGTGGAATCATGAGTAGTGTGAGTGGGTCGGTGCGAAGTCGTGGCACTGGGTGCAGGGGAGTGTCGATGGTGGGACCTGTGTCGGGGGGAGCGGGAGCGGAGGGAGACAGTGGAGTGGTGTGCACGTCGGGAGTGGTGGAAGTGTCGGGAAAGGGAACGTGACCTGCTGTAGCTGCGGGATCGTCGGGTGTCGTGTCGTCGGTGCGACTTGTTGTGCCTGCGATGGTGGCTGGTGTGGGAGTGGGAGTGTCGGTGCTGTCTGTGGCGGGAACGGGATCTGCGAGAGTGGGGATGGTGCCGAGTGTCCGGGGGAGGGTGGTTGGTTGAGGAGGTAGCGGCAGGAGCCGCAGCGGCAGCTTCGGGCGCGCGCGCCGGCTGAGGCTCGGGCAGTGAAGATGGCATGCTGCTCTGAGTCATGAAAGGCATGATGGTGCCAGGTGCCAAGTTGCCGTAATTGGGAGGGCCACCGTAGGGCATCATGGCCATCGGGTTGCCAAAGTTCGAGAGGCCGCCGTAGGGCATCATGGGGAAAGGTGTGAAGGATGCCGTCTGCGAGTTGGGTGACGGTACAAGGTTCATGGGCTGCGTCATCTGGGATGACAGCTGCAAGTTCGGTCCACAATTGCCTGGTGAGCCGGACGCGGTGCCGGTCGCAATGCTGTGCAGGAGCGAATGCATCATGTCATAGAGCTGGTGTCCAGCCATCTTGCAAGGGAGAGAGAAGGTTGGAAAGGGGTGAAAACAAAACCACACCTGCAGCAGAAAAGCGTCAAAGGTGCAAATGCATGCGAGCCAACTTCAACCTGCGAAACGAAACCAAACAGAGGGAATTCCACCAGGGGACCGCCAAAACCCCGCGGCAACGGCAAAAGTTTTCACAGAAATGCATGCGAGCACACAGGGGTTCTCAGAGGTGCCTGTCAAGTGGCCTCATGAAAGTGCCTCATGTGGCTCATGTGGCTATGCCGATGAATCTGAACTGAACTCATCCGAGACGAAAGCTTCCATGAACGCTACGAATTGCAGAGTTGGTGTATGACCAACTCGTCACTGGCGCATGAAGCTTAGGAGCCTGAAACCTCGTGGGTGCAGCCTTGCTTCAAAGGCAGGCAGTGCAGGCAGTGCAGGCGCATGAAACCAGCAGAGCACCAGTAGGGTGCGGAATACCTTAAGACCTCAAGCTGCAGCCTTGATCGTGGTCAAACGCGCTGAACTGAACTGCAGCTTGAACTTGAACACTTGAACGGTCTTCCCCTCGCAGGGGGCTCCCGCATATGGCGAGTCCAGCCCACAGCGCCATGTCGGACAGGCCGTGGGTAAACACACTTATCTCGAGAGGCTTCACTAGCCGAGATGCAAAACGCAGTCAGTAAAAATGCTTGAATGCAAATGCAAATCAACAGGTCACAACATCGACACCGAACAGGAAGAAGCAACAGCGACAAACAGAAACCGCAAAAAGAATCAGGAAAGAGGGTCAGGAAATAGGCAGGTACGCCGGATTGATCAGATCCGGTATCCACCGAAGTGCCGTAGCTTCATTGGACTGGATAGGCAAATCGGCTCCAGTCCCCCTGCAATGTGGAATTTCCGTCCGTGCTCCAGGACGCTTCACACACACGCACACACACACACACACACACACACACACACACACACACACACACACACACACACACACACACACACACACACACACACACACACACACACACAACACCCACACACACACACACACACACACACACACACACACACACACACACACACACACACACACACACACACACACACACACACACACACACACACACACACACACACACACACACACACACACACACACACACAACACAACGCACACAACACAGCACAGCACAGCACAACACAACACAACACACAACACACACAACAAAACACAACACAACACAACACACCACAGCACAGCACAGCACAGCACAGCACAACACAACACAACACACACAACACAACACAACACAACACAACACAACACAACACACCACAGCACAGCACAGCACAGCCAGCACAACAACGCAACGCAACGCAACGCAACGCCCGCACGCACCCACGCACGCACGCGCGCGCACGCGCGCTCGCACGCGCAGGCACGCACCCACGCACCCACGCACACATAGTTTCCTAGATATTCATGAAGCAAAAGCCAAATGTTCGTCTGGGCCATTCAGGAGCAAGAACTCCTGATGGACGCCAGCGAGCCCTTGGGCGCCGTCTTCTCGGAAGACTTAGTCTGTCAGGCCGCGCGAAGAAACGTGTTCTGCTCACTTCGGCCATTCGACCATGCTTGTGGGCAGCCTTTTTGGGTTCAGGCGTGGCCCCTCAGTGAGGTTGCCTGTTTGTGCGCGGGAGGGTAGGACCTGCATTGGCTTAGCACCCAAACAGCTCAAGTCCGGGCGTGCGCGAGGAGATCCCGGCGGCCTCGCAGGGCGAGCGCCTTGGTTTGGGCCCGGGGCCCTGGACGAGAGGGTAACATGTGAAGGTGGTGATATGTGGCTGGTCAAAACCACCCATTTTTGAACCTAGTTTAGTGGGGATTGCGATGTTCACTGGGGGTACGATTTGGATTTTGACCCATGGCCATTTATCACTGGCGTCGACATATGCGAAGTGATAATCTGCTGACCTCACCACGTTGTACGATACTGCTGGAAGTCGGCCTGAATCAGGGCAGAAGTTGCAGAGGCCCTGCCCAGGGTGCAGCAATGGATGACAACAGAAGCCAAGCATTCCAAACTATTTGTTTGTATTCTGAACCCAGGATCCACTATGCTGCACAAGGCACTTGGCCAGCATGCTTTGTGTTCCGTGAGGATGGTCTTGGGTCCTGCGAGTCTAACCAACTATCAATCCAAAGGTGCATCTGTCAGGGAGATGTTGGTGGAGTAGGCTTTGGTGTGAGGCATTGAGCCGCAAGATTGGCCTATGTCGAATTGGGCATAAGCACTACGACAAAGCTCCCAACTACCCGGCTGGATCAAAGGGCGCTTGAGGCTGTGAGTCGCAGTTCAAGCCAGTTTGAGCCCGTTTGCGGTTTCCAGTTGGCATCCACTTCCATCTGGATACACTAAAACTCACAAGGGAGTGTATGTGGGATGTGTCTGCAGTTCTAGGTTTAGCTCACAAGCGCGGTCTTCTGTTGAACCCTGCCGCGCTGAATCCAGCCGGCGTGAGGTGACGTTTCAAGTCCAACTTGCGGCTAGGGCGATCCCTTCATCTGCAGGACTGCAGTGGAAGCTGCTGAGCATTGGAGGGGAGGCCATCGTGACCTTGAAGGACCGGGTGGGTCGAATTTCCCATGGCATGCTCATTCAAGTTCGCCTGGAGGACTCTTCATTGAAAGCTCTTTCTCTGACTCCCTGACCCTCAAATGGATGGCGAATCGAATCCCCTTATGGCAGAGCCATGCTGAAAAAGCAGAGCCACTCCAGCGCCGAAGCCCAACTGGTCACTCGCTGATTCTTCTCATGAGGCTCAAGGAAAACCACAAGCGACCGACACGCCGCCAGGATTTCGAGGCCAAGATGGAGGCTTCGAAGGCCAGCAACGCGAAGGCCCGGAGCCAAGATGTCAACCGATTTTCCGTTGAATATCACAACTTGTCTAGAATTGTGTTGGTTGTGTGTGTAGGTTTGTGCATGTTCTTTTCCTTTTTTTTTCTCTTTTTTTGTGTGTGCCCCTGTTACACGGGGCCTTAAATACATTTGCCTCGCTACGCTTTTGTCAGTTGGGAGAGGGATGATGCTGAGGCTTGGCAAACCACTTCAGAATTTGTACTTCGGATCTTGAGGCAACTAAGTTTTTTCACCACGAAGCCAATGTACCACAACACTAATTTATGCTGCTTGTCTATGGGCTTCCATGTTTGCAAAGCATGGCAATAGGATTTGGCTATGGCTCAAAACCCAAATCGCACCCCCAGCGAACATCCGATTCAATCCCCGCTAAAATAGGTCCTAAAATGGGTGGTGAATTCACCCAATCCAACCAAAATGAAGTCCCGTTTACCGGTTTTGACCACCATGGGACCGAAGGTCCAGCTGCGCTTTCAGCTCCCTGGAGGCGGGGGGTTTTCGGGCGGGCGGGTTTCAGTTGCAGCGCTGAAGCCGCAAGGCTGGAAGCTTTTGGCTTTTGGCGCGTGTTTTTTTTGTTTTTACTTTTAACCCCGGATTAAGCAGAACCCCTGGTTGATGTTGATTGGGGGGTGTCCCCTTTTAGTGGGGGTTTATCACTTTTGGAGGGAACACCCCCCTAATGATGGGACAGGTTTGTTAACCCTGGATCAACATTACCCAGTTGCAACCAGTGGATTCCGCCTCTGTTTCCAGCTTTTGTTTTGGAAGGATCTTGCTTGAAACTCGACCAACCCAAAAAATGGATGCCCTTTTTTTCTCTCTACCCCTTGACACCACTTGTTTGATTCGGTCGCTGGGCACGGGGGAGGTCTAGCAAAAACACCAGAAGCTGTTTTGAGGATGGCCCCGAGAGGCCTTGACCATTCCCCGAGCCGATCAGCTGCCTCCGAGAGAAGGTTTGACCAACTGGTTGCTTTTGCCTGCCTAGAGCACAGGGTGTACCAAAAAACCGGGGTTCAAATTGAAAACCTAGTTTCTATAACCGGGTTTGGTGGCACTAGGTGGTTTCAATCAGCAGGCTGATCATTTGTTCCGAGCACTTGGCAGGGTGATTGGGCAAGTGTGTGCTGGCCCTTGGAGCTTCTTGCCTGTGCGGGAGGGCTCGATTTTACTCTGCGGGTTACAGGTTGCTGGTCAAAGAGTGGACTGGCTCTGATCGGCGTGGCCTGGGTTATTTGTTGGTGCCGTTTGACTTGTAGTCTCTCTTCTTTTTTTCTTTTCTGACAAAGCGTCCACATCGCAAAGTTTAAGCACCATGGACCTGACGTGGCGATCGTGTAATTTGTGGTCCCCCATGACACGTTTCGGCAGGAATCCTAGCCCAACCCGAGGGATCTACATGTAAGTGCTCTCGTAGTTGTTGTCCAAGCCCTTTGCTTTCAGTTCTACTCATGTGAGTTGATGCCGAAGCCTCAACGCCAAGTGAAGATCGCACTTGGCTGAACCCTTTTCAAAGCCTTTGGCGGGCAGTGCTTCACCTCTATTTGGGGCTTTTGAACGTATGGCCATGTGCAACTCAGCAGTCATGGCCATGGAACTCACAGTCATGGCCATGGCCGTCATTGACGTTCTCATGGTCGCCTTTGATATCGTCCGCAAGGGGTTTAGGGCTTGACACTGACAGACACGAACACAAACACACACACACACACACCACAAGGCAAACAACCAAGCAAGCGAGCAAACAAACAGGCAAACAAACGAACGAAACAAAAGAAGCAAACAAGCAAGCAAGCAATTAATCAAGCGAGCAAGCAAGGAAACACAAGCAAACAAGTGAACCAACACACAAACAAGCGAACAAGCAAGAAAGCAAATGAACCAACGAACGAACGAACGAATATACAAACAAAGAAGTAAACACGCACACACCACACACACAGGGAATCACATTTGACTACTTGAAGAGGCTTTGTCACTGCTGGTGCAGCATTGGCTCATGTCATGACCTTCCCACTGCCACACATCGCAAATTGCCCCGCAGGCTCTGCCAAGCGCCAGCGCACAGGATAGGAGGGCCGGACAATTCAAAAGAGCAAGGGCGACAGTTGTTTTGAAGCCATGCAGCATGAGACTGCCTTGTTGCGTCGGAGCTTGTCTTTTGCTTGTTTTGATTTACAGAGTACTGTACGGGAAAGTTCATGCAATGGATGAGCGATGAGGGGTGAGCTGAATTCTGTCCAGCCGGTGATGGCGGAGCGCAAAATTGCCCAATTTGCTGTTTGCAAATTGAGTCGAAAGCGCAAGATGTGTTGCTTGCGCACATTGAAAGGGCCGGCTCGCAGACTGAACTTGACCACTGAGGAATTCCCGGGGTTGAGGAGGCTTGGTTCTGTGTCAGGGGCTGTACTCCCACGTTGGAACAGCTCTGAACGCCTCTGACTGCTGCCTTCAACTCTGTCGAGGTGAAATTATTCATCTTCGCCGGCCCAGCATGTTCGTGCATTCGAGTGCGTTTTTTGTTGTCACGCTGTCAGACCTTTAATATGTGATTGGTTGGCTGCAGGGACATGACACGGAGGATGATCGTCTCAGTTGCTTTGTGTTGTCCTACTCATAGCCCGCTTGTCATCAGGGCCAAACAGGAATGGTTTGTTTCCCTCATATTGAAACAAGTGAGCTGTTCAAGTGGTCCCGCATCATCCATGTGCAAACATACATGCTCATGCAAACAAAGCCACAATTCCCCCACACGCCCACACACACTCAACAAAAGGCCGTAGAGTCTCTATGCTTACTTGCTTTGGCCGTTTGCAAGTGAGCTGACGCAAGCAGGCCATGAAAGTACAGATGTGGGAGCCGATGGTTGTAACTATGTGCCTCTGGCAAACCTGAGTGATGCCGTTTACGCCTAGCGGTAGCAGTTCACCCATCCTGTTTTAGTCCGGGCGCTTCTCCACGAATGCTCCCAACGGGCTTCCTTCTGCCATGGACACGCCTTCCCTGCTTCCGCACTTTCCTGGCTTCCAGCGGCTTGGCAGATGGTTTGCCCAAGCTCGGAATCAGTCGGTATAGGGTCATGCATTAGTGGGGTTGGAACAAAACCAAACATAACACTTCATACTGGCTGTTCTCCCTGTTGTTGTTCAGGAGCAAGCAGAGGGAGCAGCCCGCTTGGAACCAAACAAGGCAGCCGCACTGCATAGATGTGGGTTGCACAGACTAGTTCAATGTAGTTGAATCTCAATGTGGCAACCCCAGCACACCCTTAGCCGGTAAAGTAGTATGGATTTTGCAGAGTTGTCGCTGGAAACAGACACGCTCAAACTGGAGGTGCTGGTCGTGGTGAGACTCTTCCATACTGTTATGAAGATAAGATGGCAAGAACACAATGCGCTACGCATGATCTGGCATGTTAGGGATTGGGCAGGGTACCTAGTCTGTCACGGTTACCATCAAGAACAGCAGCCGCAGCAGAAGCAAACGAAAAGCAAAAGCCATCAATAAGACATGTTTGCTTTGACCAGGCATAGATCCATTTGATAATTGGTGCAGGTCCTTTCGCCCAGATGTGCTGCTCCCAGACTACGACTGCAGCCACGTCAGAGAGCAGTGGGTGCGCCATGGGCATGGATTTGGATTTGCGTCGAAGCAGTTTGTAGGATTCACCCCCTCCCCTACCCTGGTTTCCTCCAGAGAAGGCCTTAGTAAGGCCTGCATCAGTCATATTCTGGGGTGGTAAGGCAGGGGTGAAATCCAAAGAAGCTTGCCAGCGCAGTCACACAGTCACAAGGATTGAAGCAGCAAAGGGCTGACGTGGTGTTCCTGTGTCATGCAAGGCACAACAAACTGAGTTGTTTTTTTCTCCAACGGATCAGGCTGCCCTTGCAAATATTCCCAGTGGGGCAGGCCAACAACCAATGAGGTTAGCCCTTCTAAGTCACTTGGCCACGTATTCCAGGTTTGCACGTACCTTCCCGCTTGCCTGCCCGCTGCCTTTCTGCCCGCGTGAATGCCTGATTGCCTATCTGCC